TCTGAATAGGGCTATATTTGCTACACAGTTTGTCCTACTTGCCTTTGTGAAACATACTTCTGAACAAATACGCTTGGGGCATGTATCTGTGTGTCTGTGTGATGTGCTGTCAAGTCAGAACTGATGTATAGTGACCCAAATATGCTTTCTAGATCAGCGAGATTATTAAGGAGTGGTTTTATCAGTTCCATTCACCCCGCAAGTTTTCATGGCTAAGTGGGGATTTGAACCCTGATCTCCTGAGTGCTAAGGCATCACTCTGCTACACTACACTGGGTAATCTAGGTAATTCTTGGCAAAAACAAAATAAAAATAAAAGAACAAATAAAAAAAGACAAAAACATAGGGACACCTTTAAGACTGTTATATTTTAATGAGGGCTTTTGCAGGTGAAAAAGACGCTAGGTAATTCTAGGTTACATGGAAACTAATGGATGGATGGCAGAAAACTACCATGGTTCTCTTTCTTTAGTGTATAAATGGCAACAAAACCAGAATGAAATAACATTTTACAACATCAGAATGAAAGAGCTTGGATTCACTTTCACTTGGAGGAACATGGACTGATGTATTCCTATTTTTTTATAATTATCACTGTGTTGTGGTTTATACCATGGGTGCAAAATCTCAAAAGCTGTGAGTTAAACTCAACCCTCCAAGTGTCCCAGAGACTTCCAATTATTTATTTAAAATATTTTTACCCTGTCTTTCTCCATAAAAAGGACCCAAGGTGTAAACACAAGGCAACATTTAAAAGCTGAAATCAGTAAATGTAGAAATATTTTTAAAAGAGTCAAACAACTGCCACACTAAAATGGTAAATAATATTGCTTCACCATATAAACCACAACCACATTCAAAGCAACCTGGCACAATAATCCTTTTAAAAAAACCTCACCGACAGACAGACAGTCACTAAGAGAAAGCCTGCCTGAAAAGAAAAGTCTCACAGTGCTTGCAGAAGGACAGCAAAGATGGGCCAGTCTGACCTGTGGGAGGGAGTTCCAAAGTCTGTGAGCAGCAACAGAGAAGGGCCTCTCCTGTGTCCCCATCAGATGCACCTCTGAAGGTGGTGGACCAAGAGAAAGGCCTCTCCAGATGATCTTAACACCTGGGCATACTCATAAAGGGAGTTGTGGTCCTTGGGATAGCTTGGACACAAGCCATTTAGGGTTTCATAAGTTAAAATTAACCCTTTGAATTTTGCCCCAAAACAGATTGGAAGCCAATGAAGCTGTTGCAACAGGAGAGGTTATATATTCGCAACGTTTTGGACCCACAGACATTTCTGAGCACTTTCCAGCTCCATGTACAACACATTACAGTAATCTAACTGGGATGTAATTGAGGCATGTGGTACTGTGGCCAGGTCAGACCTCTCCAGAGCAGGCACAGCTGGCACCATAGTTTTAGTTGTGTGAAGGCACTCCTGGGCACTGTCAAAACCAGTCTTCTCTTCTCTTCTCTTTAAAAAAAATGCATTACCTCCTCAAAGCTCTCACACCATCAGAAAAGGGGATGAGGGCAGTATAAAAGTTCCTGGTCAGCTGGAACCTCAGTGGCTGCTTTCTTTTCATCTTTCCAATCCAGGAAGAGACAGGAGCAAAGTTAGCTTCTGCCTTAGCCAGTGTCTTGAGCACTACCTTACTTATCAATTTACTTTTTTTTACCCACCCAGAATGGTAAAACAAACTTTGGTGTGGACCACGCCTCACCCAAGCCACGACTACCAATTCCCATGCAAGGACGCACCCCTATTGAGCCATCTGGCCCATCTGGAAGGTAAGTTCTCTCAGGATAAGAACAGTAATAGGAGGGTAAATTTTTCCCAGGATCAGGCCAATGCAGCTGAAGGAAAGACAATTCCATGATGAAAAGCAACTGGAAGAGGCAGGGTCAAGGGGTACGAAAAAGCAGGACTAGGAAGGCAAGGGATCTACACTGGAAGAAGAGGATATGTGGGAGGATGCCAGAAGTGGTTTACCTTTGCCAGGTTTATTGGCTTACCACAGGAGCCAGGCACCAAAGACTTCAACCAAGCTACATGAACCTGGATACTGCTGCATCCCTGGAGAGGCAAGTGAAGGAAAGGACTGGGAGAGATGAGCTTCTGAGGCCGGGTTCTTATTATGCTCATTTATGCCAGCCTCTTTAAAAAGGTGTGTTATAGATCCGAGTCCTCTTCTCCCTCCTGCCTTCCAGAACCTGGACTCTGGAGGAATTACAATGAAACTAACTGGGCCCCAAGACGACAAGTAATTTAGAGATTGTAATTTACACCTATGGGATTGTGGGGGAAGAAGCAGAGTGAACTGCTGGTGCAACTCTAATAAAACTGATATGAATCTAGATGCTAAGATGGAGCCCGTGGAGTTATTAACAGGGAACCCCAGCTCTGTCAGTGAGGGGGGCTGATGCCCAAGGCTTTACTAGTTATACTTTAGTCAAGTGAGATAAAACTACAGGAACAAAAACTACCGGCATTAGCCAGGTAACAGAGGATGGAGGTAGAAAGCAGCTTCCATCTTATCCTTCATGGGCAACATTTTACTTGGAAAATCTACACAACCATGGGCAACATTTTACTTGGAAAATCTAGACAACTAGAGTGTTTCTGTGAAGAGCCTGCAAGTGCATTCAGATCAGGAGGACAGAGGAAAGAAGTCCATCCTACACAGTGATGGTTCTGTCCCAGTGATGCGAACGTCACAGAATGTGCACCAAAACAGATAAAATGGGGAGAATGACTTATAATTTCAGCTTCGGTTTATATTGGAAAAGCGGAGATTTGACATAGCTAGAAGTCCTTCATCTGAAAGAACTCCCCATAGCAAGATGAGAGATGGAAAAAGAATCAAAGGAAAAATAAGGGAAGGTTACAAGTGGAGGATGTTGCTGTATGGAGCCCCTGTTCACTTCTAGTAAGATGCTCATTGAAACTACTCCATGTCTTCTGGATACAGATCAGGCAAAAAGAAAAGAAAAGAAAAATAAACAATAAAGAGTACCTTAAAGGCTAACTGCCATATTTTGACGTGCGCTTTTGTGCACAAGTCCACTTTTGTGTCCACAAAAGCTCACACCAAAATACAGCAGTTAGCCTTTAAGGTACAACAACGTTTTTGGCTTCTTTATTGTGTTTTGTTTTGTTTTGTTTTGTTTTGCCTGATATGCTACCACAGAGGACCTCTTCTAAAACTACAACTATGGCTACAGATTATGGATATAAATTTCATGCAATATATTAAAGTCAACATTAATCCCTTTGATTTGGTAATGGATATTGATTCCAAATATCATCTGTTTGTGAGGTTATTTATATAACAAGACCCTGACACTGGGAACAAAACAGCCAGCTTTACTCCCATGTTTGGGAAGGAATCACACAGCAGTTCTCCCCAGAGTGGAATCCTTATCCCAACACCCCAATCAGTTCGCTCAGCAAGTGGCTGGAATGGGTGTGGGTTGCTGGTGGGCTAACCAACCTCTATATTCCATTTTGCCCAGACTCTCCTTGGGCTGCCATAATCTCCCCAATGTTCTACACATATATTGGGGCAACCTCACAGAATACTCCCCATACCTCCTCTTTTTTGCCTCTTCTAACTCAAGAGTTCTGATATTGCAGAGGTACCCAGCCATCATAGGAAGGCAGATAGCGAGTGCACGACTATACAATTATTTCTCCCATTGTTTGGTCCACTCTGGGGATAGGCTGAATATATAAGCATGCACATTGCATACACTTTTAAAAGAACTTCTGCAGGAACAAAGTTTTTAAAACAAAGATCCCAACAATACCTAATATAGCAATTGTTTTAGAAAGAAAAAGCAAACACATTTACACATTACCCGCTTGATAGTCAAAACCCTGTTGAACAAATAACACTTGCATAAAGTAGATGATGTCACCAAGACTGCCAGTAATTAAGGAGTTCTTGTTTCAATTCCAGGGCATGTGCAAATCATGCACAATCAGTATCACTGCATGCAAGTTGTGTAAGACCCAGGACAGAAGCAGGAAATCTTCTAATTAGCAGCAATCTCCCCCACCAGTGATATCATCTCCTTCCTGCTGGTATAATTTATACAGCAGGATTTAGGCCAATAAATGGAAATTGCATACCGTTTCCTCAAACATGTCCAAACTAGTGCACGGGATTTTAAAAACAGTACATATGAACAAATACTCCATAGGTATTTGTTCTAAATGTGTGGCAGCCCATTGAACACTGAAAATTTACAAAATAACTAAAATACTAATTTTCTGTCTAATTCCAAAGGAGTGGGACTTCCATACAAGTGTGTCCCAAGAATTTCAATTTTGTGTTTCCTCTACATCTGTCAGCAACGAGATTTACAAATAATTTGAATAAATGTCCATAATACTGAATTCCCTGCAGTATTGCCCACATAATGCAATGAAAATGCCAGTCAAAGAAACCATTGTGAGTTTCAACTTCTTACATTATTATAATTTCAATTTTGTGTTTCCTCTACATCTGTCAGCAACGAGATTTACAAATAATTTGAATAAATGTCCATAATACTGAATTCCCTGCAGTATTGCCCACATAATGCAATGAAAATGCCAATCAAAGAAACCATTGTGGCTTTCAACTTATTATTATATAATATAATATAATATAATATAATATAATATAATATAATATAATATAATATAATATAATATAATATAATATAATATAATATAATATAATATAATATAATATAATATAATATAATATAATATAATATAATATAATATAATATAATATAATATAATATAATATAATATAATATAATATAATATAATATAATATAATATAATATAATATTATATTATATTATATTATATTATATTATATTGTTGGTATGGAGGTCTCTGAACTGAATTCTTAGCGTTTTCAAGACTCTTCAGGCTTAATCTTTAAAGGAAGGAAAGATGTTTATTGAATTCAACAAGCAAAGTTTGGTGACTTGATTGACTTTTTACTCACCTGGTGATTTCATGTAATATTGCTCAATATCAGACATGTCCGTATTCAGTGCACACTCGAGATAGTTGAGGATAACTTTTCTACTGAAGTAGTACCTCATACCCATTAGAAAGATGGGTAAACAGCAGGTCAGCAGCAAGGACTTGGTCACAACAAAGCATATTACTATGGAGATAAGGAAGAGAAATAAACGACACCTGTCAGAAAAGAGAATTTAGTGTTGATTTTGGAACACAAACCCATAAATCACAGATATCACATAGTAAAGTGTTGCTTATGTAATACATGTTTATTATCATTTACACCCTGATTTGCTAATAAACTTGTTATTTGAAATGGTCTTGCAATTCATTTAAGATTTTTCTAAATAGTTTAAAAATTCAGATCCTCTCATCATCTCAATACAGATGTCTACTCAAAACTGTTAAGTGGTCTCTTGAACACAGCCTGCAGTGTCATCGGTTGGGAGGCAGCAGTTATTTGCAACTGTCAGTAAAGAAAACTGGCAACCTTCTGAAATAAAGAGCCCGAGGGTAAAGAGAAAAGCAAACATCAACCTCTTTTTTCACTAGAACATTGGTTCTCAAAAAAGGAAGTGCACCCCACCTGAGAGGTCACAAAGAGGTTCCAAGGTGGGGTGAGGCTGTGAGCTTTTCATAATGGGGAAAAAAGACAAAATATTTGTGTTATGTAACAAATTTCATGCCAATATATCGATTTCAAATATTTTTACTATTATTTTTTACTTTTTATTGTAAATTTTTGTTCATTGTTGTTAAATTGGAGTTGGACAAGGATATAAGAGAGGTGAGGACGCATGAGAGTTTCTCAGAGATCAACAACCTGGTATGATGTTTAAACAACTGGGAACTGCTGCTTTAACTTACAGGGCACAGCTTTAGTATAGACCTTAGCATAGGAATGGGTCAAACCACTTTAGCACGTAGGAGGGGATAAGACTACCACCCCCTAATATGGGCTGATCTGGCCAACCACATCTTTAAGTAGGATAACACTATCAATAGGGAATTAGTACCAAGACATTCCCTTAATGCTGAAAAGCTGAGATATTGCTATCAATAGGGAATTAGTACCAAGACATTATGTTGAAAAGCTGAGATACTGAAACCCTATACAGTGGTGCCCCTCATAGTGAGCGCCTCAGTTAACGACAAATCTGCATAGTGATGCGTTTTTTGCGATCGCAAAAGCAATCACATTGCGATGTTCTCAATGGCTAAAAATCGCTTTGCGATGATCAGTAAGCGTTTCGCTTACCGATTTTCGCATAGCGATGTTTTGGGAACAGCTGGTCGGCGGTTCCAAAAGGGCAGCTGGAAAAAATGGCCGCCCGCAGCATTTTCGCACCCTTTACTCACTTACCGGGCAGCAAAAATGGCAGCCGCATGGAGGATTTCTGCATAGCGGTGAGTTTACAGCCCATAAGAACGCATTAAACGTGTTTTAATGCGTTACTATGGGGTTTTTTGCCCCGCATAGCGACGAATCCAGATAGCGACAATTTTTTGGGAATGGATTATCGTTGCTATGCGGGGCACCACTGTACTGTATATATAATAGTCTCTGGTTCCCTCTACTGACCAGTTCTAGTAATACATATTGGAAACATATTTCTACAGTTTTTTGTTTTTTATTTTCCAGGCAGCGGGTAAGCAAAACTGCAGGTACTGACCCCGCTAATATGGTGGTCCTATTGTAATGCTTTCTTTGGGTTTAGGAAATACACCATACCCAATAACAAGTGCTGAAATAAGTTTTCCACATAATTTACTGGTCTTTGTTACCTCCTAAAGGTTGTCAGATCACACTCATGCTGTGATTAGAGTGGCAGCTGGTCCATCACTAAAAGAAGGACATGGAGGACAAGGAACACCAACAAAGGCATTCTTCACACAAAAAGGAAAATTTGCAATAAATTTGCATTTGCCAATTTAAACAAATATATGCAAATGTCATCAGAATTTGACATTGTAACTACAATTTAAATAGAAATACACTGCAGCTCACCATTATGCACAGGATTGTGACTTGGCAACCGCCTTGGGACACAGCATTGAGAGAAAAATGGCTTATATCAAATAAATAAATAAGGCCTAGTATTTAGTAACTCTCTGAAATGTCTGGGGGCCACACACACACACATGGGAGGAAAATAAACAGAGATTACAGTAGATTCACTGAAATATTTAACTAGACAACAATCAGTTACTTCAGAGGAATGGTTTGAAGAGCACTTTCAGAATGTCTGCTCCTGTGATTGGTGAGCATCCTTTGGGTTCGGTCAGTCAACCAATTACAAATCCACCAAACAGTAGCACTGTCTAGCCCACATTTTACT